CTATGTTAATAATGGATAATGATGCCTGGAATGAAATTAGGAAGAGTCTAATTTGATACCACAACTGGTGAGGTTTGTGCCTATACAATTAAATTTTTTTAGAGAGTCCTCACTGCAGTAGTACTCTAGAACTTGATCTAATTCTCTCCAATGCATGTGTTGATTGAAGTGATAAAGGCATTTTATTCTATTAGCTTATGGCCAAATAGCCATCTGAAAAATCATCCATTGATAGCCCTGTTGAGCCTGAGACCGTTTTTGTTCGATTATCGGAGTAAACTGTTTAAACCACTTATTTCAGAATTTACCTTGATTGAGATTGAAATGTCAATAATCAAAAATTAAAAAGGTAATTGAGGTGAGCTCCACTAGAAGTCAAGCAGTTGAAAAAGGAAAAGAAAAGAATAGTCCTCAAATGAATTCAAAAAGGAAAAGAAAAGAATAGTCCTGAAATGAATTCAAAGAGGAAAGAAAGATAAATAGAAAATTTGAAAAGCAATGATGAAGAAAAAGGTGAGAAAAATGATGAATCATGAATTCAAGTAAGTAGTGGAGCTGAAACCTGAATTGAGATATGATTGGGTCTTAATGAAAATAGGTATTTCAATCTCAATGATTATTCAGCCACTTTCCAAATAATCCTAACCTTAAGCTAAACTAAGTTATAACCTTGAGAAACCCTTTTGATCAATCATGCATGTTTTGATGTTCCTCATCTTCAAGAACTTGAGAATAAGGTCAAGCTTATGGTAGTGCAACGACTGTGATGGAATGAGTGATGATGAATACCCCAAACACTAAGTGATGAGTGAATATTATGCCTTTGTGAGGGGTAGTCAAGTTAGACTCTGATATTTGAATGAAGTTGAAAAGCATCGTTTTATGTTTTGACTTGGAAATCATTCATGCTTAGTATAGTAATCTTTATGATTGTCTGTTCAATGTTATGCTTGATTAATTGAACCTTGCTTCCCATGTTTTAATCCTGTTTATTGCTGAGGACAACAACATCTAAATCTGGGAATTGTTTGATATGCGTCCATCATATGATGCTGTCCAAGCTAAAAGAAGCAAGGAATTAATCATAAATGGTTGAAAAATGGTCATAAATGTTATAAATGCTGATTATTCCTTCTCAATCATTCTCTCACTCAAATTCTATATTTTGACAGCATGAAGCATCAAAAAGAAGAAAAAAAAGAGAAGTTGAAGTTCTCCAGCCAGCGCGTTTTGCGCGGAGCATGGAGCAAATCGCGTCATTTAGACCATTTTCTTTTGTATCTTCGCCCGATTTGCACGGTGAGTGGCGCAAATCGCGTCATTTTGCAGTTTGCTTCCTGTTTCTCCGTGCAAATTGCATGGCTGCTGGTTCAAATTGCGTGAGCGATACTTTTTATTTTTAATCTGATGCAGATTACACAAAAAGGGGCCCAATTGGAGGGCAATTGGAAGGAGGTTTTCCAAAACCTAATAAAACGATCAGAAACAGAGGAAGGAGGCACCTTTTGACGACAAGGAAAGAAAGATAACAAAGAGAGTGAGAATTCTTGGGAGCTTCTTGGAGTTTCAAAGATTCGCACGATCAAGACTGAAGATCCTCATCTTCTTTTTCTTCTTTAGGTTCTAAAATTTATTTTCTTTTATATTGATTTTGTCAGACATGAATATGTGTGGCTAGTTTCTACTATTGTGGTAAGGGTCACAACCCTTGATGTGAACCACTTGTAGTTTGGTTAAATTTTATGTTTAATTATTCCAATTGCATTTATTTTATCTTGTTCTTCATCTCATAATTCTTCTAGAACCGATCACTCTATTAGGATTGCGAGGGTTAGGGTTTTCAATAGGGATATTGAGATTCTAGTTCCTGACAAATGGTAAAATAAATGTTCATGTATGCACTAGGGATAAGCTATCTGAATCGCAAACGTGAAAGATTCACTGATTTAAAGGCTTAACTTGAAAAGGAATTTCTAAGGGATTATGATTCTAATAGAGTTAATAAGGTTAAAGTCATTAAGGAATTAGGGCTTAACCAATTAAATAAAAGATAGTGAATTGTTTGATCAATTGCATAATTGAATGTAAACGTTAATCCAAGTTACGAGGTGGGGATCATAAAGGTGTTGGAGTCTTTTTACCGCAATATTTTCTCAATTATTTTCTCAATCTATAATCTTTTGTTCTTGAGTTTCTAAAAGAACCTTTGAATTATTTACATTTTCTTGAGTTGTTCTCATTATTTCACAAACCACAATTGTCCTTAAACCATTTTTATTAATCCAACAAGAGAGAAATAGTTATAATAAATTCGGTGCCTCAATCCTCGTACGTGGAGACGATACTTTACTCATCATTTTATTACTTGGTACGATCGGTACACTTGCCGAATGTGCAACAATCCACCTTTACATGATTATAATTCTCTGACTAGACAAATCCTTATGTCAAGTGACTTCACATCGGATTAACTTTATATGCGCATTTGGTAATCATCTTTTAGGTACTGTTAAGAAAATATTTTTTAAGAAACATTTAATATCCTCGTTAAATTGCATTAATTATTTTAAAAAATTATTGCTTTTTTATTAATTTTTAAAAATATCTTCGGTTAGTTTATTTCTTTTGAACCCTATTTCATATTATGTCTTGACAGTGGTTTCCCTTTGTGTTGAATAGTTTAATTAACATTTTTTAATTGTATTTCTCACTGATTCACTTATGTTTGATAATTTAGTTAATGTATTTTAATTGTGAATGATCTTGCTATGAGTGAGGGCCATTATCCACCATTGCTTCTACTGGGTTGCTAGGAAAGAATTTATTATTTAAGATTGAGGTGAAGATTCACCAACAAGCCCGATTTGATAGGACATTTTATGTTAAGAGAGCTTGTGAGGATAAGAACATTTTTAGCATATTTCAACTGGATGGAGTACATTTTACTCCCATTAAAGTTGGGTTTGATTTGCTAAAACATAAGTAATATAGAAATAAATATATTTTCTTTGATCGTTTAACTGATATAATTTAAATAAAAAATAATTCAAGGAATGATATAAAACCTAAATTTTTGTTACTCAGGTTACAAGATCTTATCTATAACTTGAAAAGAGAAAAAGACCAATACCACAAATTATCTCAACTTTATTGTGTGCAAAACAATGCACAATGTAAATGATATTATAATAAATTGTGTTGTTATATTTATGGATATCACAAAATTTCTAATAATGTGAATTGGTCAACTAACACAACACTCAACCACTTGTATTATAATGTTTTGTTAGTAATACCTCTGATATTGTTACTTGTCTTGGATTTGTCTATATTTTTAAGAATATTGAGTGGGTTGTTTTCCTACTCATAAAGATTAGAACATATTGAAAACACGTGCCATTGCTTGAATTCATAATCAACCCTATTTCCAATAGGAGCGGTTGACAAGGAATACCATGTCAAAAGGACTTTTTTGCCACCGTTCTTAACCATATTACCAGTTTACCATATACATCACCAATGAAAAGAAAAATACTAAATTATTATCACTCGCCATGCTAATAAGACTTACAATTGTTTGAGGGAAAACAAAACCATTTGATATATGGAAATATTTATAGGAAAATGATTAGGTTAGACACAATCAATGTGGATCCCATCACTTTTAGAAAGGAAAAAAGAAATAAAGTGATAGGATCTACATTGGTTATATCCATAACATGAGCTAAGTATTTTCCTATAATATGACATAATTATTTTTCTATATATATTTAAAAGTTTTAAATGCATATGTCCTTTTAGTCTTTTTCTTTAAATAACTAATAACTTATTGTATTAATGTTTTAAGGTAACTTAGAATTATTTCATACCAATAGTAATTAAAGAATATTAAATATTCTGACTTACTTAAAAAAGCAAGTCTTAAATTTTTTTTGTTTTTAATACATTAAATATTTTACTTTGTATTAAAAAAATTATTATGGATTCATTAACCACTGTTCTAATAGCACTGGTTAACAAATTTCTTATTTTTTTGAATATTAATCATGAACAAAAAAATACATGCTTAACTAAATTTAAGATTTTATTAGTTCGAATTCAATCTTAAATAAGCACTTATAAAATAAATTAATTCGTTTAAATGTACTACCATAACGTAGGGGATACATTCACCACCACAGACATAAAAAAAATATTTTCTTCTTATTTAATGAAAATAAAAATGGAATGTTAATAAATAAGAATCAATTTAACTTATATAATAAAAATCAAAACGGAATGTTAATTGTTAACCAATAAAAACTGATTTAACTATTAAAATTACATGTTCGATCCTTTCAATATCTTTTTTAGAGAGGTTTAAAAATTTAATTCTAGGACTCGTCCTAAATCGAACTAATCACGAAGTAATGAATCGATTGGAAACTAAATAAAAAACTATTAAGATTAAATAATTTAACTTATATATAACAGATAATATTTCTCTACTACTGAAATAAAAAAAGAATGAGGTCGATCAATTTATGGGTTTTTTTCTCTTTATAATTTCTCTCTTTCATTTTCTCTCACAGAAAAATGTTTTCTGTCTCATATGAACATAAATACAGAAATCATTTCCCGATATAAATATTGCTGTAACTTCTCATTAAGACTAATAGGATGTCTTGACTTTAAAATAAAAAACCATTCCCATAAGAAAAGCAGACTGTTGAGTGTTGCATAAGTAGAATACAAGTGTCCTAGGGGGAAGAGGTGCATGATGAGGTTATTTAATATAATACATGCAATGGTATATTATAATATGAAAAATAAATAAATAATTGGTGGTTTTGTGTATTGTATTGTAATGAATGCGCATTATTATTTTGGCTACTTTCCCCCTTTGTCCCATTATGCCTCACATGACACAGACCAAAGAGAAGAAATAGCAAAACGGTGTGTTTAATAAACACTTTTCTTTTTATCCATTTGAAGACGCACCTTTCTAAACAAAAACAAATAAAAAAACGAAAAAAAAAAGAAAATATCCCCTGTTCCTCCTAAACGCTGTTCTTTTACAGCAACATCATCATCATCTATCTCTCTTGCGAAGAATCTAGGGTTTTGGAATAGTGAATCTTTACCACCTAAGGTTCTGTCTATTTCTTCGTGCTTCAACTACTTCCTTTCTTTTAATTAACATCTCTCTCTCTCTCTCTCTCTCTCTCTATATATATATATGTGTGTGTGTGTGTGTGTGTGTGTGTGTGTGTCAGTGTATGCATGCATGAAATTTTCTTGTTTTTCGTTCATGGGGTATTGATACCCTTTAAAAATCCTTGTTTTGTGTATACGAATTTGGAAATAATATGATATGGGGTGTATTCATTTCGTGTTTTGGTGGTGATGATGATCGTGGCCTGAGTAACTGAGGGCAAAGTTCGAGTCTTTTTCCCCTGTTTGGTCAATGGGAACGATGACTGGGAACAAATATTAGTTTGACCAGTGAAGCAAGCTTCGTTGTTATGTATTATTGTATTTCTTTTGTTAGAGGACTTCATTTCTGTTCTGATAAATGTTTTTTTTTTTTTTTTTTATTATCAGAAAAAATAAAAATAAAATAAAAGTCTTATTCTCTGTGATGCCTGATGAGGGGATTGAATTCTGCACATACTACTGGTGTGGTTAGAGTCTTTGGTATACAATGTTTGACTACCTTGGTATTTTCAAGAGCACGCTTAGCTATGGTTTTTTCTTCTTTTTTTGTTTTTTGATTTTTGGTGCTGAAATAGTTTTGGGATTTTTTTTCATTTATTTACTCTTTTGGATATTATGATTTTCTTTTTTCTAATTTTCATCTTATATTGTCTGTATTCAATTGGCATATGCGTGCACGGGATTGTTCTTGATATTTTTGAGTGGCTATCTGAGTTATGTATTTGTATGATTTGTGATTACTTGAAATGGTTGTTGTGCACCAAAGGTGGGCAGATATGCCTAACATCTTATTCAGAGCTCTAATTCAGTATGATGTCAATGCTTTCACATTTCCTTCTAATAGTTACTATGAATTCAAAGAAAATGGCATTATTATCATTTAACTTTGTGTTTATTGGCATGTGGGTTCAGCATAATTGAATTTTTGCATAATACTCCTGCAAATTCATGTAAAGTGTTCAATTAAATACCTTTTGTCACTACTCACTGTATTATTTGATTGGAGCTATTGTTGCTTTAATTGCACTAGTTTACTTTTCTCGTGTAATCTAGTAATACTAATAAGTTATATTTCTCATTAATGCTGATCCAACAATTTTGGGTGCAGTTTAGGAGACAATGTCATATTTCTAATTTCCATTACCAAAGAAGGGGCAAAGTAATCTTCCAGTAGTATGGCAACTGAGAGTCCAATTAGAATCTCAGAAGCTGGGGGTAAATGGCCCTCTCTTAAGGAAGCTGCAACTTTTGGTTCACCATCTCATGACATGGTGACAGAGGATTTGGGTATACTTTTGAAGGGCCATAGGTTCCACGGCATTGGAAAGGATGTGGCACCCAATCGCAGTGGCAGTGCACCTCCCAGCATGGAAGGCTCATTTCTGGCCATTGAAAACCTATTACCCCAACATAACAGCACCCAGAATGCAAGCTTGGCAACTCTAAGCAGGGCTATGCAAAAATGTGATTCTGAAGAACAATTACGAGCTGATCCAGCTTACTTGGCATATTACAGTTCCAATGTCAACCTAAACCCTAGACTTCCTCCCCCGCTAACCTCCTGGGAAAATCGCCATCTAGGACGTCATATTGGTAGTTTTAGCAATAATTGGGGATTGTCTTCTGCAGATGATAGCAGTAAAAGTTCTTTACATTTTCCACAAGGAACTCTTTCAACACACAAGGAGGAGTCTGAAGATGATTCACCCCAACAGCCATATGATAACGAAATAGTTAAGACAAGTGGAATATGGCGTAGATCAGATGTAGCTTCATTGTCATCTCAGCACAAAAATGTGGTTGATTTAATTCAGGTGATTATTGTGATATAAACATCTAAATTTTGTGAAATCCATTCAGTTTTCTGCATATAAAATATTGTCTCCATTCCCTTTCTTATGTTTTGTTACATTTGAGTAGTATATTTATCATTTTTTTTTCACCATTTATTTTCTCTAGCTTATTTTTGCTGTTTGCTTGCTGCAATGGGTAGTAATCCCATTTTTTTTTAAGTTATTAAGTATTTGACTCTTTATTTTATTTTTTCAAACTTTCAGGAAGATTTTCCTCGCACCATGTCACCTGTATATAATAAGTCTCTTTCTGTAAGTCATGGAGTCGTGGATAAAGCACTTGACTTAGAAGCCGGTCCTAGTTCTTCTCATGACCCCCCTGTTACTACAGTAGAGGCTGCTGAACCTACTATAGGTGCCAATGATCTAAGGGTATCATCAAGTTTTGATACCCACACCCCTGTTGCGAGCTCATCATCTCTTGAATCCACAGGCAGCGTGGGTTTTAGTGATTTAGATGTTACAACTATTGAGTCTCAACTAAAGGCTCTTAATGTATCTAATCTGCCAAATTCAGCAAGCCTGAGTTACGAAGAAAAATGGACGACCAGCTACCAGAACAATTTGATGCAACGCCAGGTATTCCAGCAACAAAATGATCCATGTGAAGTTCCTAGTGCCAATTCTCTAGATGTAAATTCTGTGTACATTGGTAGGGAACAGTTTCCTCATAATTCCAGCAAGTCCTCTGATGTCCAGCCTCTACTGCAGTCATCTGGGTTTACACCTCCCCTATATGCCACTGCAGCTTATATGACCTCAACAAATCCATTTTACACTAATTTTCAGGCCTCAGGCATGTATACTCCACAATATGTTGGTGGGTACACTTTAAATCCGACAGCTATTCCTCCATATATTACTGCATACCCTCCTCATGGTGCTGTACCATTTGTTGTTGATGGGGCTACTAGTTCCAGTTATACTCCGCTAACACCAGGGGTTTCGACTGGAGGAAGTATTTCGAATCGAGCTGAAATGGTACATGCAAACAAGTTCCCTGGGCAATTTGGATTTCCTCTGCAGCCTTCTTTTGGTGATCCTATGTACATGCAGTATCATCAGCAACCTTTTGTGGAGGGATATGGTATTTCTAGTCATTTTGATCCATTGGCACCTAGAGCAAGTGGTGGTAGCCTAATTAGTCCCCTTGATTCACAAAAAAGGCCCAGCAGCGGTGCTTATTTGGATGATAAAAATTTGCACGATCAGAGAACTGGTGCTAATATGAACTCAAGAAGAGGTGGATTATTGATCCCTAATTATTTTGGACAAATGCCAAACATGGGGGGATTTGTAATGCAGTATCCAAGTTCACCACTTCCTAGTCCCGTTTCGTCAGGATACCCAGAAGGAAGTCCTGGCCTTCCAGGAGTTAGGAACGAAATAAAACTTTCCCCAGCTTCTGGTAGAAATGGAGGCATATTTTCTGGATGGCAAGGTCAGAGATCCTTTGACAGTGCTCATGACCCCAAGATTGTTAGTTTTCTTGAAGAGTTAAAATCTGGCAAAGGTCGCAGATTTGAGCTATCTGATATTATTGGACATATTGTTGAATTTAGGCAAGTAGTCTTTTCAGTTCTCTTTCCACCTATCTAATTGATCGATTTCTTGGCTTTGGAAATGAAATTGACTATGTTTTTAACTCCAGTGCTGACCAGCATGGGAGTCGATTTATACAACAGAAGTTGGAAAATTGTGGTGTTGAAGAGAAGGCGTTGGTGTTCAAAGAGGTTCTTCCACATGCTTCTAAATTAATGACTGATGTATTTGGTAACTATGTAATACAGAAGGTGTGTTTTTAAAGTGATGTATATTTTATTTAACTAAGAGTAACCTTTGGCTGTCTGAAATCTGTTCTGGTCTAATTTGTCCAATTCTCCTATGCTTAGTTTTTTGAGCATGGAAGCCCGGAGCAGAGGAGGGAACTGGCAAGTCGACTGGCTGGTCAGATACTACCTTTAAGTTTGCAGATGTATGGCTGTCGTGTAATCCAAAAGGTATATAATTCATGTACTACATTTATTTCGCTGGCATGCGTGACAGGTCACAGCTATTGCAATATATTTAAATGTTTTGAGTATTGATTTTAGTCCTATGACTTTGTTTCTGTCTTTGTGTCTTTGAGTCGTAACAATTTCCAATTGTGATTTATTAATGCTCTGCACTATCCAGATCCTAGTTAGGCATTGGCTAGAGCTTCAGGTTTTTGCAAATTGCATTCTTAAAATGGGTTGTCTAACCTGGTTTGCCTTTTGTTGCATCCACCAGCACCTGGTGGGAGGAGTTTATAAAATCTGGTTTGCATTTAGTTACCAGTACTTATCTTGTAAATTTACTTTTTCTTCCATAGCCAAGGTCAAATGTTATGGCAAAATCAGTGTGTTTAGATAGAGTCATAGACACCACGATTTGTATAATGCATGAAAGAGTTTGTGAAAGTAAATATGATGAGGCAATGTTGGTTTTTTAGAAATAGGAACATGAATTTAACTAATTTCACATGGTAGGGTGGCTTAACCACCTTTTATAAATGATAGTATCATAGCTTTCTCACAGTTATCATATTTATTTTATATCCGTGCAGGCACTTGAGGTTATTGAGCCTGAACAGAAAGCTCAGCTTGTTCGTGAGCTAGATGGAAATGTTATGAGATGTGTTCGTGACCAAAATGGGAATCATGTAATACAGAAGTGCATTGAATCTATTCTGACCAAAAAAATTGGCTTCATACTATCTGCATTTCACGGTCAAGTTGCTATTCTATCAATGCATCCTTATGGCTGTCGAGTCATACAGGTAAAGTTATTGCATTCCCTTTCCCTGAAAGAAATTTTTTTTTTTTTTTTTGGTCATGCATTTAGTCCTATGATAATGTTTCTTGTAGAGAGTTCTAGAGCACTGTACAGATGAGGTTCAATGTCAGTTTATTGTGGATGAAATTTTGGAGTCAGTTTGTGCTCTTGCTCAAGACCAGTATGGTAATTATGTTACCCAGGTTAGTTGCCGTCTCTCCTTCTATACCATAATTTTTTTATTAGCTTCAGGCACTTATGGTGCATAGTAGAAAGAAACTGTGACAAGTTGGAGGTAGTTATTTTCTGTTGACTTCTATGTCTTATAATTTTTAGATCGTATTCTCTTGTATACTATCACGCACAAGGAGTTCCCCGTTAGAAAAGATTTACTTTTAATTAATAAAAATCTTACTGTGGAGTGAAGATTCAGATTTATGGTAGATGTGGGTGCAGATGATGAGTGTATTGTTAGTCAGTGGAGTTAGACCATGTAATTGAGATCGAGATCATCCAATGGTTGGATGTAGGTGTTGAAATAGATTCTCCACCTGAAAAATTCCTGTGGTATTTTAAGTAACCGTCCAATAGATAATTATGTTCTACGTGAGGTGACATATGATGAGTTTGAGCTTTGATAGAATACATTTTGGAATATGAATTTGTGGGATGACCTTTGTATCAATACTCCAAAATGGACTCAGTTATTTTTTGTAGTTTATGTAGATAATACCTATAGTTATCAAACAGTTTATATAAAGCAAATTTCACATTGAGGTTTTCTTGTTTTTCTTCAAAGATTGTGATAGAACATCAAACATGAATGCAGAAGAATTAATATAGCCAAAAGGTGTATGTGCATGAGAAGAGAAGAACTCTTGCTGCCTAATCTAGTATGACTGAGTTAGTGGATAAGAAATAGTTATTTGTATGTTGGATGTGTCAGTTATTTAGAATGTGTCAGTGATCTATTTGTAATATAGTTAGTTATCTTTTAGTAGTGGGTAGTGGGTAATTGCATAGTGCAATTAGGGAGTTACCATCATTTAGATGGTGGATTCTGATAGAAAGGGCGGAATTGATAAGAAAGAAGTTCGGTCAAGGGACTGGGGCTTGGAGGACATCTCCATGCTAGGAGTATATACTCACTATTGTGTAATTTTCCTTGTTTTCTTACTGTGATGTACAGATCTTGACTCAGATAGGGAGTTTGTCCTATCAGATTGTTTTATTAACGTTTAACATTCAAATTCTCTATAGTCATTGCTGTCTTGTATGATACCTTTTATGCAATTTCTTACTGCATTTGGAAATTTGTTCATGCATATAAATTTCAGTAATGATACTTAAAGTCACACGCTCTGTTGCGAGACATTAGATAACATCATGGACCCATCGTTGAAAATTTTTCTGCATGGTACAGATTGAGTACATACGTCACATAGTATGCAAAACTACCATTTTCCTAAATTTATAGGCAAAGCATTGTATACTATTCAAACTGCAAATGACATTGCTTTTGGTCAAGATCATAAATTGATATATTTTATGCATGCTATAATAATTTCAAGTGACAATGGTTGTCTATGCGAGTTCACTACATAATATGTGAGATAGGGAAGTATGGAAGATCCATGAGTTAATAGAAATATGCAAAGGTCTTTCCAGACAAATGCATTCAAATGTAATTTAAACAGAATTTTTCTGTGTGTATAAATCGTTTGTCCATGTCATGAAGATTGAACAAAGTTTTATCTTAGCTGTCTAGGGGTGTTTGAGGTTCTCTCCCCCTTTCCTAGGCATTTTAATGTGAGAATACTTGTATATTTGTAATCTATTTATGATTCATAATGTCTTTTTTTTCCCCAATGGCTTTATAGTGCATATTACTAATTTACTATGCTTGAATTGATTTAGATTAATTCTGAGGTTCACATGGCTAATGTTAATTGTTAACTACCTTGGACTCTGGATATTGTTCTGGTTTGCTGCTCTATCATGTCTATTTTGTTTAATTTCTTAAGCTGTAGTGCTTTCCTTGTGTCATCACAGCATGTGCTGGAGAGAGGAAAGCCTCAGGAAAGGAGCCAAATTATCAGCAAGCTGTCAGGACATATTGTTCAATTCAGCCAGCATAAGTTTGCTTCGAATGTTGTGGAGAAATGTTTGGAGTATGGTGATGCCACTGAACGGGATTTGTTAATTTCAGAGATTATTGAGCATGATGAACAAAATGATAATTTGTTGGTAAGTTAAAACTTAGCCAGACTAAATACATGCCATTTGTTCTTGAGAATTTCCAGTTGTTCCACACAAGAAAAAAACTCTTCATTCTTTGGCTTCATTGGTGTTGATGGAGATTTTCTATAAGCCTTAAAATATGTTTTAATAATAAATTTAGTAGGATTGAGAAGAATGTTTAATACTTCTAAGGTCTTTCTTGGAGGTCGAAAGTTACATTTTCTTGGAGTAAAATGTTCATATGTTGTTGTACGTAAGGAATTGCATTTCTCGAACTCCGGCAGAAGAAAATTTGCTATCTGTCTAGTTATCTGTAGTAGTTGTCATATTAGAGTTTTGCTTCTTATTTTATTTTATTGATAGAAGATATTACAGGCATAAACAAATGCAAAGGAACGGGGATGTCAAAATCATTCCCATGGTTTAACTGAATCTTATATCCAGGGTTTCTGCAATTTAACTTGTAATATATTTGTGTCATGAATTTATTATTTTTCGCAATAGGTATACTTTTTTGTTTTCCTTCAAACAAGATATTAAAGATTCGTACTAAATCTAAAAGGTGATTGGTCTATAACACTGCCCTCACTCTTTAAGGTCAGCACATACGTCGAGCTGAAATGTTAGAATTGACGTGCCTAAGGTCTAATTTCAAGGTTCAGAGGCTTTGATACCAGATTTATAAGACAAAACCAACTTCACCCAAAATCTGGGAGCTGAAAATTGTCTCTTAATCTTGAACTATTGTCTGTTTTTCTCTAACCTTATTCCCTGCAAAAACCGTGGTTATCTCCTTGTACAGAAGAAATACCTCAGCCACATAGTGTGCTCAGGTTAAAATATTAAACTTTATTATCTAGTACATATTTCAATTTCCACTTGATTAATTCAGTCTTACTCCTAGATGCTTTGAATTGGATTATTTTATTTCTGTTGTGATGCATACAATTTGGGGTATGTACTCTTGCTTACTAGATCGAATTTTGATTTTGGCTGTAGACAATGATGAAAGACCAATTTGCAAATTATGTTATCCAGAAGGTTATTGATATCTGTTCTGAAAGTCAGCGAGCAATCTTGCTTTCTCACATAAGAGTTCATGCTCATGCTTTGAAGAAATACACTTACGGAAAACACATTGTGGCTCGGTTGGAACAACAATTTGGAGGTGTGTATTCCTAGTACTTTTGTTGACAATACAGAAATCCTGGTACTCTTAGATAAAGCACATTTGAATTCTCGTGATATAATTGGGTAGGTGAGGTGTTCCTGCTAAAATATTCTTCTTGTTATAGAGAAAATGAATCAAAGCCTCGTCTTCTCATGTTATGCTAACTATACCTATACCATATAATCAGTGGTATGGATAAAAGAGTTAACCACCTTAGAAAGAGTTAAGAACGGTGGGGAGACTTAGGGTCTTAATTCTTTCTTGCTGTTTAAAGGTTGTCAATCTACCTTTCAACTGAATGAGATTATGCTGGTATTGATATAGTGGCAGAAGTTGCAGTGATCTTCACAAGTTGAAGTAGAGTCAAAGAAAATCAGAAGATTCTTTGCCCAACTTGTGATTTTGAGCATGATTATCTTCACAATTTGAAGTTGAGTCGTTTTGAGGAATTGAATTAAAATTAAAGACCTTTATCCCAGCCCCATTCTACCCTTACCCATTATACCTTCTACCCAAGTGTCTTCGACTTTTTCTGGTATATATTATAGAGTTTGATTAAGTTGTGGTATAAAAGAATTTCTAATCTTGGTTGAAGTTCAGATAATATAGTACAAGCCCTAATGAGCTTTTGGGCTAAATCTGTTACACTGATGTAAACAGAAATACATATTGAAAGCCTTTTCAGGGACGACTGACCGTTAAATTTCTCTCTATTGCCAAAATCTAGCATTCATAGCATTATGAGAAAAACCACTTGGGGTTTTTATTTTCTTCAACTTAAAAGACAATGGCAAGATCAAGAAGATATGTTGCTAAGTGAATATCTTAAGATCTAATCACTGGCAAGAAAGAACGGAGGGAATTTCGAAAGAAAGCTAACACTTTGTTTGGTACAACAAAAATATGAAAAAATACTTCCTATTAAACCCCGACTAGCGAGGGTAGGGGTGAAGACTATCCATGTACACAACCTTTATCCATACATTTTGCAAAGAGGCTGTTTTCTGGATTCGAACACGTGACCTTTCAGTCACAAAAGAGAAGCTTTATCACTGCTTTAGGCTTGCCCTCTTTACAAAAATGAAAAATAAAATAAAAATAATGATGTGGAAAATAAAATGTTCATTGTTACTCTTGTTTGCAAATCATTTTCAACCTGTTCACTATTTCCCACCTTCTCAGCAAACCACACCTTAAATGTCCGTACAGAACAATTAAGTTTCCTGTCTTGACATATTACCTTTCTCTTTTTGGATAAATTATGGGAAGGAATTTTTTCATGGAAGCTAATATAATCAGACAAATTTAGCAAACAAGCCATTACTTGGTGTGTCTGAACACATCAACCGTCTCCCCAAGAAAAATAAGATAAAATAAAAGAAGAATGCTGAATGGAGCTAGAGAATCAAACAGCTGGTACCTGGATCATGATGACTTACTATCCTATACTTGTTTTCTTCTTATCCTATGCTTGATTTTTGCTTGCAGATAATCAAACACCTGGATCATGATGAGATATACATAAGAAACACATGGGTCTCCAACAGTACTGCTGTGGCATGCAAACCCTGCAGCTTCAACACATGTTCAATTGCTGATCGCAGGAAATAGCTGAGACATTGATCTTTGGGCCTGCTAATGAATGAACAGTTGACTTTCATATCTACGACTTGATAGCTTCCACGTTGATGGCTTCAGGAGACATTAGTATATACATCTATATTCTGAAACTTTATATGTAATTATGTCATTCAAAATGATTGGTTCGGAATGTTGTTGTTTGAGTAATAATTATTTGGAAGAAAATCCTTCCTGATGTAAACTGTACTGGATCCTGGATCTTCCCTGCTTAGTGTGTGGTTGGTTTTCTTAGGGATATTGGCAGTCAAAGATTCTTGAACTTAATTAGAGTCCTTGTCTCCTGAACACCTGCTCCCTGGTCCTTGTGCTTGAATGTTTTAATTGAGAATGATTAAAGTAAATGGTTGGATTTTTTTTAAACCCCTTTACTCCATTTGTGTAGGATATAGTTACCTGATAGCAGAGATAAGAGGATTTTGATTTTTATTCATGCTTACTGCTGATAGAAGGGAAAAACTAAGGGTAGAGACTAGAGAGTGAAAGTTAATGTAAATGCGCGTAGTGCCACCAATTCATATGTATTGTTTCTTGCATGCTTTCATTTTTTTTTTTTATCATTTCCTACATGGTTGATCATGCTCGTGTCATTGTTATCAAATTCAATGTGGATTGCGGCTGGTCGACTCTGAATGCCATAGTGCTATAGCAGGTTTAGTCAGCTTTTCTAAACGTGATAAACGTATTATGCAGCATAGTATATTGATGTGTGTTATAAAATAATTTAAATTGATATAGACTGAATTAAATTAAAATAATTAACAAACATAAATTATATTTAATTTATTAACACTCCTAAATTAAATTACATTATTCAACGGTTTAAAAAAAAAAAGTTAACATAACTTAAATTAAATTAAATGAAATTAATTAATACTCTTAAAAATAATTAATTAATAGTTATAAAATAATTTAAATTAATATAGATTGAATTAAACTAAAATAATTAACAAACATAAATATATTTAATTTATTAATACTCCTAATTTAAATTACATTATTTAACGGTTCAAAAAATAAATAAAATAACTTAAAATAAAATAAATGAAATTAATTAACACTCTTAAAAATAATTAATTAATAGTTATAAAATAATTTAAATTAATATAAACTAAATTAAACTAAAATAATTAACAAACATAATTACATTTAATTTATTAACATTCCTTAATTAAATTTCAAAAAAAATTAACATAACTTAAACTAAATTAAATGAAATTAATTAACACTCCTAAAAATAATTAATTAATATTTATAAAATAATTTAAATTAATATAGACTGAATTAAACAAAAATAATTAACAAACATAAATTACATTTAATTCATTAACACTCCTTAATTAAATTACTTAACAGTTCAAATTTTTTCTTAACATAACTTAAACTAAATTAAATGAAATTAATTAACACTCCTAAAAATAATTAATTAACATTTATAAAATAATTTAAATTACAAAATAAATATATCCTTAATAGATGCAACACGTTGTCAATTTTAACATTCAAATTTCAATAAATACCTTTGATAAATACAATTAATCACAATGCATTCTTACACATAAAAGACGAATCAATGAGCATCAAATATATGCGCATTCTTATTTTTGTTTTTCAAATGTATAATTGCTTACTTTTTCAGTGTAAGCCCTTCATGTTTCAAAAGGAAATTATTGTAAAAAGGCTTGGTTGGTTCCAATTCCCAGCATAATTTTCAATGCCATATCAGCAAAACTTGTATGAGTTCAAACGACTGTTGACGTCTAGGGACTTAATTACAAATTTTTTGAACAATAAGAACATCGTTAAAAGCTTATTAATTTAGTGACTCAGTTCAAGATTTAATGAAAGTAAGTTTAATTTAACCAAAACCGAAAGATATCATCTTCTTTTTGGGTTTACAGAATATGATACTACCACGAGTGAGGATCTCCAATTGCGGGGGTAAAATGTTACTAGTTATTATTTTCAGTGAATGGGTTTTGTATGGAGGTCCAGCTCCATGAAGGTATTTGAAAACCATTACCATAATCCATTCCTCGCCAACCCTGCTGGGCACCTGAACAAACAACAAGGATTGGATATTATTATACATATGCTTGCATCTCAACTCAGTTGTCTTCAAAAAACAAAATTAAACTTTCAACTATATATTTATAACATTCAAACTTCCATGTTCCAAAATTCTAAGCTATTTTGTCAACTTTCTTCATAACTTGAGATATATTTATTCATTATGCATTATATGTAGTAGAATAACTTCTCAAAAACGAATAGATGAGGATGAGGCAAATCTTATTGAAGTCCAAGCACATTTAGTGGTGTTTGAATGTGAAAATGTATTCGAAGGTATTCGAAGAGAGTAAAAGGGAAAAGGTATTCGAAGGTTTTGCTAAATGGTGTCAATGCACTGTTTGGTACCTCTACCTCGCCGGAAACCACTTCCAGGGCCAGATTCCGGTGACCCTCGCCGCCGACCTCTCTGCTCCACCCTTTTCGAACTCGATCTCTCCTACAACAAATTTTTAACTTCAGTAAGAGGATCACATAGAAAGAAATCCAACCCCCTCATTTAAGTTTAGGTACTATTCCTTAGCTTATTTAGGGTTGTCCTTGATCTTTACAATTATTTTTGGTTTTGGGACTGAAAATGCAAAATTAATTCCACTATAGCTTAAGGGGAAATAAAATGGACTAAAGTTTTTATTAATTAATAGCCTACTATTTATGTGACTTCAAAGTACCATTGCATTAGATTCAAGAGTAATTTGATTAGATGTAGTTAAGTATATATGTTAATGAAATAAATACTTTCATATATATAGGAGTTAGAGCCATGCAAAGGACGATGCATTCTATAATAGTGGGACATGCACCTTCATTGGTTTGGTAATCTGGTAGTTGAAGAAATATATTCAAGTGCCACATCAATAGCCTTATGCTCTCCATCTATATAAATACAACCCACCTTAATTTGTTATCTCACAAGTCACACCACTGCATGCATTTCAAAGTTCTTCATATTACCCTACTTCAATTTTCTTTCTAGGAAAACAATATCTTGTAGTTGTAAGGAACATGGATATGTCTTGACACTCACCGAGGAGTTCACTAGCACTGTCCAGGCAGAGAAGATGCCTCAGGCCATTTCACTTTTTTATTATCATTGTACGTTGATGATAATGTTATTATTATAACCCCGGAATTTTGAGGGGTTATACTGAGTTGGATAACTATTAGGGAAATAGCAAAGGTCAAAAGAGAAAAAAAGGAGCATGAATACTTGATATCATCGTAAGAAGGTCTCGGGCGCGTTTGAAAAATAATTTTTTGATGGTTAAAGTGATATAATATAAGATCATTAATGTGACTTTCATAATTTATGTTTTTAGGTTGAATTGATATTTTATACGATATAATCAGTTTTATATTTAGCTATGTTGATTACAAATAATTTTAAATAATATATTTATTTATATTATACTATTTTAATAATATAATAATTATTAAAATAGTACATTCACTCGAGCAGCTGTTTCTTAACTCCACTGTTTCTTTCTTCTTTAGCCATGTACAACCTTTATAGCAGTGAAGAAGTATTGGCAGCACAAACGCTAGTGATGCTTTCTGGCACCACCAATGTTAAATGCTATGAAGCACCGATATGCAGAAAAAAAAAAATTCCAACGTATTGGATACGTGTCCTGTATCGATACTCTTCCGATACGGATATTGTCGTATCGGATTCGTCAAAAACTTCCGATACGGTCAACCACCTCCATTGAGGAGTGTTCAAAACCAGAATATCTTGTTTGGTGGTAGTGAGTTTGAGTGGGTTGTGGGGAATCGAAGAAGAAGATGGAGACATGGTTGGAATCGGTAGCAAGAGCAGCAATTTCCAGTTAGGGTTATTCAGAGAGCCATACCTGAAACCATGGTAGTCAAAATCGCATTCCATGCGACGGGAACCATTTTTATCTGACGCAGGCACTTATTCTGCCTATGCCCAATTGCAAGGAAGCACAGACACTTGTAAAAACAGGAAGAGTCGGGTCTGACATGCTCCGACACGGCGACACGCTCCGTGTCGGACACGCGGTTGACTTTTTCCGACACGTTGACCATTCCGACACGCGAATTTGACCGTGTCCGACACGGTCAAATGACATTATCGTAAATTTTTTAATTTTTTTTTAATTTTTTTTTTAAAAATTTATTTTTTTAAAAGTTAAAATATATTAATAAAGCTTCCACATGATCATATCAATTTTATCTTTTTGTCTTTTTTCCCCTTAAGTAGATAAGAGATTATCTCAGCATCATTGTTGTCAATTTCTATCACGCTCTTGTTGTATTTTCTTCTCTCTGATCTCTCTAATATGATTTGATCTCTCTATCTGATATTATATATCTCTCATCCCAGTTCTTATTTTTTTTATTAAAGCTTCCATCTTTATAACGTGTTGATGAGTATTATTAATTTAGTTTCATTTTTTTGTTAAATTATTAAATATTAAATGAAATATACACTATATAAATTAAAAATATTATTTAATATTAAAACGTGTCCCAACGTGTCGAAATTTATAATTTTTTAGGATTGACGTGTCGGAGTGTCGTGTCGTGTCGTGTTACGTGTTGTATCGGTGCTACGTAGCCCAATTGTGACTCTTTTGCTTAATGTGTGCGACGGCGTTGGCTTTTTGAAATCTAGGGTTTCCATTAACTTTAGTTTAACTTTGGGAGAAGAATGGCCTGGATCGATTTTGGGCTGAACTTAGAATTAACTTTTTTTTTTTCAATAAAAATAAATATTTTTGTTATTATTATCTATCGACATAAATTTTATCTATTTCTAAATAAATAAAATGTAAACAATATAGATTTTTTATGGAAAATATTATTTTATTTAATTGAATATTTTACATATTTAAAATATAAAGCATAATAAATACACTCTTTAAAATATAATTTTTCTTTTATTAAATTTTATTGATGTGAACTCTTTATATTAAATATATTATTTAATACTAAGACATATTGGAACATATCGGGATACTAGTATTTTTGAAGTGAGACATCACGTATCGAGAACATATCGAAAATACTGTATCAAAATCGGTGCTTCATACCAATTCATTTCTCTTATGATTAGATTGTAATTTACGGTTAAATAGGCTAGAAACCCACTCTTTTCCCATGCATGTGTCTGGAATAAAAAGGCTGATATAAGATCACTAACATTTTTCTTCAATTGTCCTTCCATGTAGATCTAATTAAATGTTCTATTTGTCAAAAAACTTTTTCGTGTCACCAAGCACTTGGG